TGAGAACTATAATACTGTCCATGTTACTTATGTAAAAAGGTGGTTGTATAACCAGTCAGTAAGATTAAAATATGTCAAAATATTTTGTAGCAATTTGAATACATTTTCTGTTACTCAACACGATTCGTTAATAATCAAAATACTATAAGTATCCTGTTTATAACCTAAAAAAATCTTTGAGGTATGTAAGATGTTGCAATTTAATAAATCACTGTTTAAAAATAAAGTTGCTAAGGAACATGTAATATAAGCATTTGGCAATACCTGTCTATAATAATAATTTAAAAATTAAATTTATAATTATAGTTACATAATTTACCTACAATATTTACATTATGTTTCGTTTGTTTTACTATAAATTGGCATTTGAATGGCATTATGTATTTATCTATTTTTTTTTAGTTATTTATCAGCAACTCGATTTCACATCATAACATGTAGTTTCTTTATTACAATATTTACATTATGTTTCGTTTGTTTTACTATAAATTGGCATTTGAATGGCATTATGTATTTATCTATGTTTTTTAGTTATTTATCAGCAACTTGATTTCACATCATAACATGTAGTTTTTTTATCGTAGCTAGAAAAACTATACACTGTGTCCCAAAATGATGAAACAAAATTCATATTTTTTTCCAGTTCAGATTTAAAAAAATCGCTGAATCAGGCCAATTTGTAAATAGAAATTGTCAGTTTTCTGCAATATTTTCTATTTTTTTTGAGGATTGTTTAACATTTTTTTTTAATAGGACGCTCTATATTTTATAGTATAAATAAACATCCCTTCGAAAGACGATATAAGGTTATATCTACTTTTTTATCATAGTTGTCAAAAAATTGTTTTTTATGTCGTACTGACAACTATTTCAAATAATTATAGTCTCTTCTGTACTTTAAAAACGGTACCTACCTACTCTTTATTAATATTTTTCTACTTACTTTTTTTCCTCAAAGGAAAACATCGATAAACACATAAAATTCACCAGAGTACCTTAGATACAACATGAATCGTTTTACTTCCAATTCATTCGTTGTTAAATTATTTTGAAAAATGGTTGCCCGTTTAAGCTAAAAACAGAGAATTGAAATTTTAATTATGATTGGATGCGGAGATAAAATCCGTAGTCAACAGGAGGTATGTGACTAGTATCCAGATCAGAGAATTAGTCGAGCTACAATAAGTAAAGTATTCAAAAAGTTTGAAGAAACCGAAAGTATAAAAGATTTATCTGGATCAGGAAGGCGAAGAACGGTAAGCGAAAATGACCGTCAACATGTGATGCTCGCCGTTACTGAAAATCCTCACTCCATTAGAGGCCAACTCGGCCAACTTCAACTTGTCGAAGTCTTTAGTTCAGAGAACTCTGAGGTCTCAAAAGTGGCATCCATACAATGTAGTCTTACAAGAACTATGGGCATATGGCACAGACAGAAGATTGAAGTTTTGCGAGGAAATTAGAAATTTATTTGAAAGACAACCCAACTTAAAAAAAATCACATAATTTTTACTGACGAAGCAACTTTTTGCTTAAACGGAACCGTGAACAGGCGAAATACTAGGTTTTGAAGCCCAGAAAATCCGCATTGGATGCAAGAACAATATACACAACGGCCGGAAAAGTGAATGGTTTGGGCTGGAATAGTAGGAAATCGCATACTGGGGCCTTATTTCTTTGAGGGCAATTTGACAGGCAACATTTATTTGGATTTTTGCGTTTTCAGCTGATTCTAGCCCTGGATTAATTTTTCCTAACTCTAATGAGCACGATATGGTGCTCCTCCATATTTTCGCCTCGATGAAAGGAATTGCCTTAATGAAGTTTTCGTTTTTTATGGTACAAAAGAGACTACAGGGTCGGAAAGTCCCCATGGTTCATCGGCCGTTACGTGAGAGCGATAAAGAAAGTCATAGAAATCCGTGCGATAGAGAAAGATGGCTATAATAAAGGCGTCTAATAGTCACCGCCCATTTCGCTCTTCCATAAATAAGATCCACTTCTTATTCGCCTACTTTATCGCTCTCACGTAACGGCCGATGAACCATGGGGACTTTCCGACCCTATATGTTTGAAATAGTCGTCGGTGCGACATAAAAGACAGTTTTTTACATTTTCTTGACAGGTATGACAAAAAAGTAGATATAATCTTATATCGCTGAATTCGTCTTTAGAAGGGCTATCTATTTATACTATAAAATATAGAGAGTCCTATTAAAAAAATTTGCGTTAATGTTATAGGTCTGTCAAACATGGCTCAAAAAATAGAAATTATTGCGGAAAAGTGACAATTTTTATTTACTAATTAACCTGTTTCAGCGTTTCTTTTAAATTTCAACTGGAAAAAAATATGAATTTTGTTGGGACATTTTGGGACATTGTATACTAATGTATCTATGATTTATTTAATAGCCAGAAAATAGATATTAGTTGAATAATTTTAAGAGATTATTTTTAAAAGATTTCTTAAAGAGCTATTTTACTATTGGTCAAAGGTAGTGTTGGAGCAACAAAAATACAAGATATTAATTTTTTTACATTATTTAACAATTGCTGTGTCAAGTATGTATTTTTATATTTTTAATTTTATTTTAGATAAGTATTAATTACTAGCCACTTGCTGATATTTCTGAAATAATTCAGTGCTAGTTGTGGCATATCCATAGAGTAGATAGATAGATAGATAGATGGACGGACGGACGGACGGACGGACGGGCAGGCAGGCAGGCAGACAGGCAGGCAGGCAGACAGGCAGGCAGACAGGCAGACAGGCAGACAGGCAGACAGACAGACAGACAGACAGGCAGGCAGGCAGGCAGGCAGACAGACAGACAGACAGACAGACAGACAGACAGACAGACAGACAGACAGACAGACAGACAGACAGACAGACAGACAGACAGACAGACAGACAGACAGACAGACAGACAGACAGACAGACAGACAGACAGACAGACAGACAGACAGACAGACAGACAGACAGACAGACAGACAGACAGACAGACAGACAGACAGACAGACAGACAGACAGACAGACAGACAGACAGACAGACAGACAGACAGACAGACAGACAGACAGACAGACAGACAGACAGACAGACAGACAGACAGACAGACAGACAGACAGACAGACAGACAGACAGACAGACAGACAGACAGACAGACAGACAGACAGACAGACAGACAGACAGACAGACAGACAGACAGACAGACAGACAGACAGACAGACAGACAGACAGACAGACAGACAGACAGACAGACAGACAGACAGACAGACAGACAGACAGACAGACAGACAGACAGACAGACAGACAGACAGACAGACAGACAGACAGACAGACAGACAGACAGACAGACAGACAGACAGACAGACAGACAGACAGACAGACAGACAGACAGACAGACAGACAGACAGACAGACAGACAGACAGACAGACAGACAGACAGACAGACAGACAGACAGACAGACAGACAGACAGACAGACAGACAGACAGACAGACAGACAGACAGACAGACAGACAGACAGACAGACAGACAGACAGACAGACAGACAGACAGACAGACAGACAGACAGACAGACAGACAGACAGACAGACAGACAGACAGACAGACAGACAGACAGACAGACAGACAGACAGACAGACAGACAGACAGACAGACAGACAGACAGACAGACAGACAGACAGACAGACAGACAGACAGACAGACAGACAGACAGACAGACAGACAGACAGACAGACAGACAGACAGACAGACAGACAGACAGACAGACAGACAGACAGACAGACAGACAGACAGACAGACAGACAGACAGACAGACAGACAGACAGACAGACAGACAGACAGACAGACAGACAGACAGACAGACAGACAGACAGACAGACAGATAGACAGATAGACAGATATTAGTGTTAGTACACAACAAGTGTTTACACACGTCAAAAAAAATACTTATAGTAGTAATATAAAATCATTATGAAAAAAAATATATAATACATATACAGCACAGTACACACGCGTATAACAATGTTGACACGTAACTAGTTCAGAGTAGGTTAGATATATTTTGTATACCTAGATTTTTGGTTCGTATAGAATATTTGATAGCATTTTATTTTTATTAATAATAACAGTGAATTAAATGGATATATCAAAGTATAGAGTGTACCTTTTTATATTATTTTCCTTTCTCTCATCACATCCTGTAACTACATAAGAACCACTACAGACGACTCCGTTTTTTTTTGTCACTAGATATATTACAATATATAACATTTTTCTAATAGACAGTCCTATTTTTAAAACATTAACTGATGTTACCCGTACTAATATTAATTATAAATATTGTTGGAAATATTGCAGTTACTTGAAATAAATTACAAATTACTTATTCCTTTTTTTTCTAATCTGAAATGTATAACATTTATAATTAATTGTCTTTTATCAGTGCCTACATACTAGGATTCATCTGTTATCTCATTTACATGGAAATATTACCTTTGCACACCAAAAACTGTTGTCTCTGCCGTTTCTTTTGTAGAAGACAAACAAAAAGCAAAACAAAGGCAATTTAGATTATATGAAAGGTAACAGGAAACAGGAGTAATATAAAAGAAATTTCGAATACACGGAAACAGATTATTCCGTAATGCCGTATGGAACACTTTTACCGGAATGACTGCGAGCGTTATTTTCAAATACCGTACATTTTTACATGAAATTTAAATACTAGTATAATTAAATGGGATATAATCTACAATTGAATTGCTGCACTTTCAAATAAGAAACCTACATGAGACAAATATAAATATTGAATTTCAACTAAGAATAAAGGGCTTTGTATATTTATTTTTTTTTTGTCAAATAAACACATTCGTTCAATTCAATGAGGGGCATTAAATATTGTTATAAATAATGTATGACATTTATTCAATAATATAACAAAGACGCTTTACCTTTAGTTAAAACAGAATAAATTTATTGTACAATTTCTTTCTAGTATCGACGCTGTCATGCCAATGATCCCGCTGGGTTTAAAAGAAACAAAAGAAATTGATTTCCGGGACCCATTTAAGGATTTCGTCCTAGAGCATTATAGTGAAGATGCCAATCAATATGAAGATGCCATAGCAGATTTTATGGATACTCGGCAAGCCATGAGAACGCCTTTAAGAGATAGCAGTGGAATAGCGCTACTATTTAGATATTACAATCAACTGTACTTTGTTGAGAGAAGGTTTTTTCCACCTGACAGGTCTTTAGGGATATATTTTGAGTGGTTTGATTCTTTAACAGGTAAATTTAAATTCATGACTCGTCATATTTTCTTAGTGTTGAAATTTGATCACGAGTAAATACATTCGCCTAAAAATGATATAAAGCTTAGCATTTGAATAATATATTCTTCTTGTCCATGAACTCGTAGATAGCAATATTGTATAGCTTTGCAAAAGTAAACGACGTTAATTATTATGTTATTTCATTCTAATCAATTTATAAAATCGTAAAATTATGAATTAACTAGCACATAAATACTCGTACGTGGCGAACATACTGGGAGATAGTAAAGTTCGATCAATACTTAAAATGAATTAAATTTATATAATTTGTAAAACATAGAGTACATCACATAGAGAATTAAATTTTGAACAATTTTTTTCTTCTTCTCTTACTCCGCAAAATCAACTATCAGATATTTACAATCTTGTTTATTGTTTCTTGACAGGAATAATCCTTTATAACTTTTTAAATAGGTTTTTTTGATATATTTTTATTTGAAACATGTTTCACTATTAGATAGATACTAAAGAATAATATCCAAATTATAGTTGTCAAATGTATTAATTTTTGTTATTTTAAATAATTTTAATGAAAATGTAAATAGTATGTTGATTATTGATAAGAAACTAACCTTTAAAATAATTTGAAAATTTTCTTTACACAGCAATGCCAATTTTTTTGGAACAAATTTATAAAAAAGTCGTGCTCTGCTTATAAAGGCCGCAATAAAAAATTCCAAATAAGATGATTTTTTCAGGGTTGCTTGGGGACTGCTTCCTGAGTATCCAGCCAAAAGATCACACTCGAACTCCTGGTACGACTTACGCTATAGGGGTGGTTTCCTAAACGTTTTTTTAGAGCAAAATGTCCCTAACAAAAGTTGTAGAGTATCAAATTCTGAATAACTTTTCCTTTAATTTTTTTTGTATCTCTAATACTTAATGAGTTACTGCGCATTATGTGACAAAAATTGGGCACACTGCAGTGATGGCCTTGTAAACATGTTTTTACAAAGAGTTGACGACAGTGTTGGCAAGCGTTGTTAGGCTGTCATGTGTTAGCTGACAGCTGCATCAGTTCATGTTTACTTTTCATTTGCAATTTGGAAATAATGATGATGATATTGATGACGACCCTGAAAATTGTACATCACGCACGCAGGATGATAGTTCAAACATCGATCCGGACGATATTGAGGAAGAGATGAATTCACCTGAACCTTCCAGGAAAAGTGGATGATTTATTAAATTGACTTGATGATTTTCATGCAGATCGTGAATTAGGCCTAAGTGCGCTGTAACTTGTTAAGTAGTCAAGATAATAAAAATTTTATGAAGCAAAATTGTAGACTTATTTAAAAAAAACACCAGTCCTGTGGTAACTCGTTAAGTATTAGAGATACAAAAATGTTTTATAAAAAGTTGTTCAGAATTTGATTCTCTACAACTTTTATTAAGGTAATTTTTTTGCACATGTTTACAAGACCACCCCCGCGGCGTGCCCAATTTTTGTCACAGTAACTCGTTAAAGATTAGACATACAAAAAAATTTTGTAAGGAAAAATTGTTCAAATTTTGATCCTCTACAACTTTTATGAAGATTATTTTGCTCTAAAAAAATGTTTAGGAAACCATCCCTATAGCACAAGTCGTACCAGGAGTTGGAGTGTGATTTTTTGGTTGGATACTCAGGAGACACTCCTCAAGCAACCCTGAAAAAATCATCCTGTTTGGAATTTTTTTATAAAATTACATTTTTATTGGATTATTAATAAATTTTTGCTAGATATTTAGAGCCTTTTATATTTATATATATATATTTTTTATATTTANTGTAAACGCCGTCTACACTTCGTTCAAGCATTCCCGGGTCGATTTGATTTATTTCAAAACGAATACGGTTTTTAAGTTCTTCCATATTTTTATATATATGTTGTAGACTCGGTTGTAGAACATAGAAAATTAAATGAAATATTTTTTTTATCGGCGGAAAAACATATTTAGGGGGTGAAATACATTCTCAAAGTTCACCCCCCAAAACAGTTTTTTCTAAATATCTGGGGTTCACCCCAGATATTTAGAAAAAATTATTGATATATTGATTAGAAAATCAATATTTTGGAATGAAAAAAAAATGTAAATTGCTTCTTATAAAAAAACAAATGTTTCACATTATATTCCGTGTTTGGAGTCTGCTACCCTTATTTTTTATTTCAGAAAAACTATATTTTTCAAACATTTTTTATATTTATATAAAAAATGAACGCCTCATAACAATGACCTCTTTGAAACCAAAATGGTCCGAAAAATTATATTTCAACCAATAACAAAATCAATGTCAAGCAAACCCATAGTATTTATTATAAAAATTGTAAATGGATCTACATAATCTAAATGTCTAGCCTTTTGCTGAGTATAAATCCGATAAAGAACTTCGCCTTTTTCGACTTCGCATATCGAGAGATCGAGAAATAATAAACTTTCTTTTTATAAATTCCTAGAAGGAAAAGTAAGATTTTAATAGATCATTAATCGAGTTGGTCAATTAAGACAGCTCATCTAAATTATGTGGAAAATGTTGATTCAAAACATGAAAAAAGTAAATAAAAAATAAAACCTTTAAATAACAAAACAAGTTGTTCATGATCCAAGACTTGAAAATTCTAATTATTATTTTTGTTTATATATTTAAAATTAGTTTCGAAATATTCGCTATTTAAAACCACTTCGAATAACATCGAAATCGAAAGACTTGAATTCAAATAGAAATTAGAACGTGCAATAATATACAGGAAGTTCCATTTGAAAAAATTGTGTATGTAACGCCAATCCAAGGTCACGATCTGAAAATATGTCAATCAAAATCCTACAAATTTTTCTTGAAACATTTTTGTCGAGTTATTTAGAAAAAAATTTGACCTCCAATTAACCTGCAAGGGCATAGTGGAAAATTTTCTAACACCAAATTGTAAAATTTGACACTCTATCCATTGCTGACATAACAAATAGGGTGTTCTTTTTAATGTTTTCAAATCGCCCATAGCTTGACCTTAAAATTTAAGGTCAACATCAAATCCAAGGTCACCATAATATTAATATCTTAATATCTTACAACTTTTTTCTGAAACTTTTTTTGATGGGTCTCAATCCTAAAAATTTATCGGTGGTTCGGATTTTTTTGGAACACCACATATATGACATAATAATATTTGTTTTTATTACTTGAAAATTACAATGTACGACTTATGGTACCTACTATTCTATAACATGTTACGGCAACTGTAAGCGATATCCTTCAACTTTTGCAATCTCTTTCTTAGTGAATATAATTAATAATATTGCAAAAAATATTATCAGATTTACCTAAAATGTCACAGAATCTTTATTTTATCATTGTAAATTTACAGAAAGTTACAGAATAGAACCATTGTTTTTAAAATAAGCTAATTCAATTAGATATAAAATGCATTGATCGAAATGCCAAGATACTAGCATAGAATTTCTATGGTGTCGCAGTATATCCGCCATTGATGTGTACATTTGTATACCAATTCATATTCACCTTTAATTAATTAAATGATTAGCCAAAATATCACCAATCTACGTCAAGAAAAATTAACAGTATTTGGTATTTATCTCCAAAAATTAATATGTTTCTATAATTGCTTTATTCTTGAGTTTAAATAGTCCAAGGAACAATCTCCTGAAGTTATGATATGGACTTCTGTCTGTGTACTTAATAAGAAATCTATATTCTAGGTGTGCCATCATGTCAAAGGACTGTAGCTTTCGAAAAAGCTTGTGTTTTATTTAATATGGGAGCTGTATACACGCAAATAGGAGCGAAACAAGATAGATCGTCAACTAAGGGTTTAGATGCTGCAGTGGATAGTTTTCTTAGGGCAGCGGGTACATTTCGTTACATTCATGAAAACTTTACGAATGCGCCATCTATGGACCTTGGACCTGAAATGCTGGAAATGTTCGTCCAGTTGATGTTGGTAAGTATTCGCTTCTCTATGGCAGAATGGCACATTGATGACTATTCCATAACCACCGGTTTGCTGGACACGATTAACAAAGTAGAAAAAAAAATAGACCATGTTTCGAAAAAGAAGTGCGATAGATTCAGGGGCTGGGTTAACATAATATTTTTGCTACAAAATACAATATACAGGGTGTTAATTAAGTACATTTACAATTTCAGCGATTTTAAACCAAAAAAGGCACATTTTCTAAAATTTCTGGAGACGATTTATACAACATAATGACTCTTGGAATAATAATCTAATGAAAGGGGAAAATCTACTGAATTCTGATACAAATACATTTACCAATAAAAATCTCAGAAATTCGACGTCGCAGGACATTCTGAATTTCGATAGTTTCTTGTAAATGCCATTTTTTATTCATTTTTTAACATATACCAGCTTCTTAAAAGTCCATAGGAAGTAGCTAGAAATACAATTTATTAAAAATAAAATATGTTTAGAAAAAAATCCTAAGAAAATTTTTGTAATGCAAATATTTGTTAGACCTAATGATGGGCGTGTTAACAGTAAAAAAAGTAAGAAACCGAAAATAGGTCGTTTTTTTCAAATCAAATCATATCTTTCATATATAAATCCAATCCTTTAATTTAATAAGTTTGTTCTAATGTCATTGTTATACTCCTTCACTGTATATTTAACATCCTGCCTATCGAAAAACATATGTCCCTTAAAACTTTTTTCTTATTGTGACGTGTTTCGTTATTTCTCAAAATTTCTGTGGCACTCCGCAGGTGATATAAATCACAATGTGAAAATCAAGAAAGTCTCTCAACGACTGATGATACTTGTTGAGCTATACTTACCTTCCTTTCCGATTTTTTTTTCTTTTAAATAACTTTGTATCTATAAACATTAAAACTTTAAATTTTCGGGTACCTATTACATAAATTATTGATTGATATAAAATTTTTGTTTTTGTTCAAATGTGACTGAAAATTTTTAAAAGCCATAAACTGACAGATTTCCATAAAAACAATAAAAAGGGTTATATGTATGGTCAAACAAAATTTAGAAGATTTGGAAAAATTCTAATAGCACCAGCAAATGCAGGACATTAATTTATATTCGACCTAAAAAAATAGTTTCTAAAAGAGAATGTAACAAAATAAATAAGAAGCTAGTAATAAATATTCATATTAGCTAATTGCCTAATTTTTTTTCTAATAAACAAATAGAAATTTGCCTTGAGCATATTGAGCACATTTGAAAATAAACAAAAAAATTGTTTCATCGCCATTAATTTAATTTTTTACAGTTTTTTCCCAAATATTATGTATGTAACTTTTTATGCAAGATTGGAAGTTTTCTAAATATCAAGAATATAACGTTCAGTATGTTTATAAGTTTGGCAATATTTATGAAATATATATATATATATATGTCGTAGTAAAATTACGATATGTTTAAAAATATTTATTTTCAAACGTTTGCCTTCAGGCCCAGGCTCGAGAGTGTCTTCTGGAAAAGCTTCAACTACAATCCGAAGAAAACCGGTCAATAGACATCTGTCTCGATTTAGCCCAGGAGGCGTCACATTTAGCTGATTGTTACAGTCATGTTAACGAATTAATTACTCTTGAAGCTGTGCGAGATTACGTCCCTTACAGTTGGTCTACTTTAGTTCAAGTAAAAAAGGAATACTATACGGGAATGGCACATTACCATGTAGCTTCTGGAGTCCTGCATAAAGAAGCTAGTGATATGTCGACCACCACTAAGGAAACTTTAATGTATCTGCATGCGGAACCTTTAGGGGCTCAAGTGGATATCGGGCTACCAAAAGATGAATCTGAAAGGAGAATTCTAGGTATGTAAGGATGCAAAAATTTTGTATAAGGCTATTTATTTGTAGCGAAGTTTTTGCTTTAGTCCAAATAACCAAATTGTGACATGATTTTCCTGTGTGTGTAGAATTGCCACACACACAAGTTTTGTTGGTACCAGAAACATGAGTGAAATCAGGTGTATTTTTATCCGAATCCACAGTCCAAAAACCGATTTAGTAGACCATTTTTAAAACGCTAAAACATCCTCTAAAATAGTGTGAAATAGTGAGGATAAGGAAAAGTTTTATAATGAATTGCAACAATTTGTAAATACTGTTGGAAAACATTTAAAAATAAAAAAATAATATTTTGAGCATAACAAAGAAATATAAGCAAATTAAATCCACACCCACCCCTACGAGAAAGTTAATTCCACCCCTATGATCAAATAAGGAATGTTATTGCAAAACAGTGTGAAAAACATAGCCTTGTATTTTATACTAGCAAATATATAAATGTAGGTTTATAAACAAACAATATAATATAACTTATCCCTCAAAGGATTGGAAATCACCTACAGACCAGGGTCCCACTTCCAATATTTTTTATTGAATTTTATAATCGCGGGTTTTTGGGGTCCCTCATTGCGAATCTAAAGTGCTAATCCAAAAATTCCTGAATTAAAGATAGCAGATCCAATGTGGCGGATGTAAAAATCGGAAAAGCATTCAAAATTTGAAGATTACGGTTAAAACTTGTTACTCGGTGGTTTTCTCAGAGTTGCTAATCACGATATAAGGTTTTAATTCGGAAATTCTTAAATCCAAAATGGCGGACCCATTAGAGCGAATTGAAAAATACCATAGAAATTGATATTTACTACCCAAAGAAATATGTTATGAATTCATTCATAACTTCAAATTTTGAATGTTTGTAACGAGCGTTCAAATAAAAACGTGGTCGAAGTTGGCTCTGACACATTGGACGTAGGGAGTAGCTTATAGCGACCAACTTAACCTCATTTCTCAACGAGCTGTATAGCAGCTGTCAGTTTCAATAACGTTAATGACTATATAACTTTATTTTAAAGAATAATCGTGATAACAATAACAAACAATTAAAGGAGCTGCGGAAAGTGTCCCCCTCCTTGTTATAACAATAAATTAAAGCAGCTGCTGAAAGTGTCCCCCTCCTTGTTCCAAGCACTTTTCACACCTGTTCCTCAAAGAATTAAAGACATTTTCTAAGATGCTCGGGGTATTGTTAATTTCACGAATCTTGTCTATAAGTCGAGCCTGCAGATGGTTTAAATCAGGAATAGGCAGTTCAAAAATAGTGTTTTTAAGGTAAGGCCACAAAAAGAAATCACACGGCGTAATATCACATGACCTCGGTGGAAATTCATGTTCAGCATTGAGACTTATTAGTCGATTTTGGAAAACTTCCCTCAACATATTCATCGTCTCGCCTGCCGTATGTGCCCTTGCGCCATCTTGTTGAAAGTAAAAGTTTGTAATTTCGTTTTCTTCCAGCTGGTTAACAAAAGGAGCGATAATTTCTTCTCTATACCTTTGCGCAGTAAGAGTACCATTAAAAAAAATAGGTCCATAAATCCTCCTTCGATTGAGAGCACACCAAACTCCAATTTTTTGAGCGTGTAGAGGGCCCTCGACAAAAAAGTTATCTGGTTTTTCAGAAGACCACATTCTCATATTCTGTGAGTTTACGTAACCACTTAAATGAAACCAGGCTTCATCAGAAAAAAAGGTGATATTATGAAGTTCACCGTAGTTGTTTAAAAACCATTCACAAAATACAGCCCGTCGCGGAAAATCAACTTCATGAAGTTCTTGCTGACAAGTTAAACGATAGGAGAACAAACGCAAATCTTTTTTTAACACTGTGTGGCAGGTACCGACTGATACTCCCACCATTTGTGATAAAACACGTACAGAAGTTCTTGGCGCATTTTCCATTATTTGTTGGACATTTTCTTTTAATTCTTCAGTCCGCTTTTTAGGTCGGCCGCTTCCTTCTTTTCTTGTTACACTGCCCGTTTCACGAAAAACATTAACACAACGCTGAACTGCACTTTGAAAAATTTTGTACTCAACAACGCCGGGAAATTGATTTTGAAATTCTATGAAACATTCCTCAATAGAATACTTCCATATTCCATCAATCTTGCGTCCATTTCTAAAGTAGGACTCTATGATAAACACTTTTTGTTCTTGAGAAAACACCATTTTAAACGCTTTTTAAAACGAAAATATTCAAATTGATAGCGGCGATATAGCGCTTTGACAGATGACGTTTAAGTTCATTTGCTATACGCTACGCCCTACGTCCAAATTTTCAGAACCAACTTGACCACGTTTTTATTTGAACGCTCGTTATATTATTTCATATTATTTAATTTGGAGATAATAATATTACATGTATAAAAAAAAGCTATAATATTAGTACCATTATAGTGACAAATAAGAAAAATAAGAATATTTTAAAAACAGTTTATAAAACTATTGACTGAATTATGTTTTCCGCTCATAAATAAAAACCTTGTTTTGAAAATGTTTTCACCTTCTCGTCAAATAAAGTGATTATCAATTGTTTTTAAAGCATATTGTGTAATGCTGTCAACATATAACATAATTTCTAAATCAATTTTAGTCCGAAATGAAATCTATCTAAATAATAAAAAAGTACATTTCCACTAAAAACTTCTAACTTTTGGCTTAAACAATTTAAAGGCCCGCTTATAAAAAAATACGTCCAATCCATACCTACCAGTATGAGACGTCCTTGGCTAAAATTTAGGAATTATTTTTTAACCATTAGATTTGCAATATAACAGTAAAACTCAATACCAAATTCTATTATCTTATGTCGAACGGTTTCAGAGATATGTAAAAAAACAACTTTCGGCGACTCTTCTTGAAGGGATTGTCACAGCACCTACTAGCATTTCTCAGCCTATGCTTATGTGTACTTCTAATCTTATTTTTAATCGTAGAATGCACTGAAAAAAATTACATGCTAATTTGGGGACACTATGACTTTTTTAGCGCAAGATATATAATCAATTTAAAAATGTGTCACAGGTAGCCAAGTACCCAAATAACTAACGATTATATTGTGCAAATTAAATATTTTAAATTATTTTATGCTGCTATTACCACTACTACCTACAAAAATTTTTACTACCAGTCAACATTCATTGGCATCATTATTTCCTTACAAATAAAGTATATAAATGGATATAACTTCGCATATTTTTCCAGAATATGTGTAAATGAGGATTGTCGCTGTGTTAAAAGAATGATGTATATATCTAACTTCCCTCAATTATTTCGACTCTCTGTAATTTCTTTCTGAAATAAAAAATGTCATTCCTTTTGTTCAAGTGGAATAATATAAGCAATAAGTATTAATAACGATATATTTTTTTAGTAGAATGGACAAATTTTTGTCTTTTAGAGCTTTGAAAGAAAAAACACTTGCTGAACTCATATTTTGAATGTTCCAAATAGTGTATGTTAAAATCGAATAAAATAAATTTACTTAGAATGAACATTGTTGACTAATTTTTAATCCACTGTTTTTTTCACTAAAATGTCTGCTTTACATTACGTTTTCTATCTCAAATTTCAGTTTGGTACAGTATTTTAGAAACCGTAATGGAGATATTTCTATTGTTTTAGGAAGGGCTCATTTAAGAGAGGCTCTTATGCTACATGAAGAATGTCAAAGACTTCATCGGATGTGCCGTGAATTGAAAGGAAAATATGCTCTTGCAATTGTTTTAAGAAATGCCCACAAAACAGCTTTACATGCATATACTGCAACTGAAACCGAGGACGACTTTAGTGATCTGTTAGATCCCCCGCGGATTCGAGGTAAGCTGGTTATAAATTTCTACTAACATGTAATTGTTACAATAATCGAGAAAACTAAAAATGCTGAAAGGCAAGACAATGTTTTCATATTTAGTTCTGAAATTTCAGATCCGCGTCACTTGCGGACTTGCCTACCTTTTTAGTCATCTTTGAAAAGACAAATTGATAATTTTGACAAACCGCGAACATCAAAATTTGAAGTTAGTTCGACGTATGCATGGTTTTAAAGTCTTCATGGCTATCGGTAAATATACAGGAGTCAAAGGGCCACGATTCAGATCCCCTATTCACTGATACACTTACCATGAACAACTGGACAAATTTCACTTGAGCCCTAAAATGATCAAATCAGACCAACTTGTTTAGCTTCTTTCTTTCCGCTCCAGAATCACCAGTAAGGGATCACCTGTATTAACCGGGTTGTGATTTTTCGATCCACGAGCATGTAACTGCGTTTCTAGTACATACTAACAGCCGCGAGTTGTAGCAAACCGTTCATGTCAAACAGCTTGTTGTTCGTGGTTTCCCATTTACCAAACCGCGCGCCGTGTAATTACGTCTTATAAACTTTTATATTTTTTTTTTCAAATAAAAATTAATCAGATCAGATCAGACTCCAAACAGACAATATGAAATACATAGATAGTTATGAAATAGGAATGTATAGGAATATACATTTGGAACGTGTGCGATAGATTAAAGTCTAATAGACTATTTTGGCGCGCCAAAATTTTTATTATCATTTCCGGAAATATATTTAAATATTTAAGAAAGC